TCTCTCTCTCTCTCTCTCTCTCTCTCTCTCTCTCTCTCTCTCTCTCTCTCTCTCTCTCTCTCTTGCCCCCCCCTTTTCTCTTTCTTGATCATCTGAACCTTGGATCTCTTTCGTGCTATCCTGCGCATCCTTCTCCCTCTCACTCTGAGTCCTACGCCGAAGAACCCGGTCGATCCTCTCTTCACTCCGTTTAGCCAAGGAGAAGCATCGTGTAAGAGGAAACTCTTATTACGCGACGACTCTGATTGGCTACGATCGGACTTAGAAGGATCAACATGGCTTTCGCTAGGCGATTATCCCCAACTTCCCCAAGTCCTCTCTCAGCCTTCCCGGACTCAACCTTCATCCTCCCTCGTATTTACCTCCCTTCCCGCAATTATAAATTTTGTGAGCACACCCGCAAATCTCTCTCGCAACTCGTCTGCCAGCTTCCGGGAAGCAGTGGCTAGATGGTATGTGTAGAGTGCGAGTTGAAAAGTCCCGACGGGCTGACTGTAGCCTGGCCAGCGGTACGCCTGATCGCCACGACGAACTGTGCGATCTGGGCAAGCCGTGCCGAGACTGAGTCGGCAGGGTGACGATCGCAATGGTGGAAGGTGGCACGTGACGGCCAGGATCGTCAGTGCATACACGGGGATAGTGATCGGAGTTGAATGGATAAATGACCCGAGGCAATAGTGGAACTTCACGGCGGATGCGCCTCCTTGTCTCGAATCTATTCCTTTGGAGTGAGTTCAGTTTGACGACAGTTAGGCCGGAAACTTTTTTTCATCATCGGATCTTGGTATAATTTTCATCTATCTTGTCTGCTCCGCGTCTTTTTCTCCCTACCTCCTCTCTCTCCCTCTATGATATGAACGGTCATGGATGCTTGTCGATCTACTGCACACGAGGCATGAGATGGTTGTTTTGACTGACGCTTAATTAGTCACGGGGGTGACGGGCAGGGGTGCAGAGCACACGGAGAACTGAGTGGTGTGTGGCTGCCATTTTCGCACCTTCCTTCGATGAATGTATGTGGGAGATGAACGAGAATGCTTGGATGATGTCATAATGAGACGATTGCCTGAAAGACTTGTTTCCGACTAGATCGTAGGAACGTTGTGGTTGACACGTGGAATGCATGCTAGATAGGATTTCGGTGTTGCCATATGGACCGATTGTCCCAAGCCAACTGGGCGCCGGCCTCCCGCATCCCCGACACGCCCCTTCCCGTATAACTAGAAGAGGACATGTGTATGCAAGTGCGACGTACGAGAAGCCGTCGCCAAGATCGGCGGAAGATACTACTTCCCTCCTGAAACCCGATGCTCTGGATTTGTCCGTGCTGGTTTCGTTGTTGTGGACACACTTTCCGCCTTATTTTTTGCTATTGCCGTTTAATGAGCTAATCGTCATCCCGTGGTCGGCAGTAGCGCCCCATTGGCCTAACACTTTGTGCAGCGATTGTCTCCGTTTCGAGCGTTACCAATCAAAGGGCCTTCACTACCGAGTACGAGAGGAAGATGAGCATAAGGAAGGAGCCACTTGGTTAAGGCCTTCCACGTCAGATTCAGAGTTGTGTAATGAGCAGCGTCGGGACTTGACCCGGAAACGGGATACCAAGTATGTGCCCGCCCCCGTCCACGCGAAACGAAAAGCGACGGCTCGATGGGAAGTTCAGCGATACTTTTAGGATTGAATTTCCCCACGCCGTGCGTCCCGCGCACGCCTTCTTCTCCCTCAAAACCTGCGCAGTGACGGACCCCCCCCCTTCTTACTAAGTCAGACCGGCACAGGGGATTTTGGTTCTGTCCGTGTCCCCACACTCAATTTCCCAAAAATCCTTGGCACACCCCATCTTGCTACCTTTCTGGGGCTCCTTCCGCAATTTTAAACACTCCGAACGGAAGGCAGTACAGGGCGTGAGGTTGAGCGTCACATGGAGGACCACTGAGCACACTTGGAGTAGGAGACCCCTACACGAGTTCCGAATCCCGTACATGCAAACCAATTTCGTCCTCGTTCCGAATCCGTCACACTTACCCGCTCACCTCCCTCAATTACCTGCCTCTGATCCCACTCGTGGTTAATACGTGGTGTCATTTTCGACAAATTTTTCACCGAAACTGCCATATTTCCGACCCACCAGTCTCCCCATCTGCTCATCTCCTCCCTCCCCATTCCAGCCCCCCTGCCCAGATCCCCCTTCTCTCAATCAGGAGCAGCACGATGAAAGATATCAGACTGGGGGGGTCTAGTCACTGGGTGGGGTCTAGTATCTGCGGTAGGGACAGGTATGGGCCACCGGAGTTCCTACTGATATTCGGGTAGAACTGTCTAGTGGCTATATATAAGGCTTAGACCCTGGGGTAAGGGTAGGGGTATAAGTCGCTCAGGCCAGTCCAAGTTCCGCCTGGCCTTGGGTAAGCTAGGGGAAGGACCGTAAGACTGCTTCAATGGTGCTACCCTGTCTGAAACCTAGGGCCCAGAGTCTCTTGGGTCCTAGTAGATTGTCTGGGCCTGGGGTCCGAAGTTCCCGTTTGACAAGGCTCCTGAGGCTCCGATTCCGCTTCCACCAGGGCTGGGCAACCTATCAGCCCTGGTGCCTATCACTGCTGTTCGGTCCAAGTTACCTGCCCATTGGTAGGGTAATGGTCCTGAGTGCTGGTCACACTGAGGTAGGATAGTGGGATTGGGGGTGCGCTAGGAGTATTGACGTGAGGATGGGATGGGAGGTGGTCTCATATTCCAGGACACCCACGGCCTACTGCTCCAGGTGATCACTGTGCACACAGTGACTAGCCTCTGAAAAAAAAAAACAGCAGGCCTTCATATGCCACAAACCAGCAAGCAGAACGACTCCGACATTCAAGGGGCAGCGGACAACACCCACAGACCATTACCTCGACAACAAAGACAAGATGTAAGGAGGACACGCTTCCTGGATCAATCCAGCAGATGGCCACAGGGAGAAAGGACGGGCCAAGAGGAACTTCAACATCTACAAGCCTGCAGATCTAGGGATTTGGAGGTTGACGAGGTTTAGCATCTGAGGGACTCCATGATTGAAAAACAAAGACACCCCAGTTTCAGCGGATACACCCCAGTTTCAGCGGATACAATAAATGGTGGAAGGGCGGTCAACAATGTTAGGCACCCTAGTAGGCACACCACTGCTGGCCTTTGATCGGGCTGCACGCCCACTCCCCTTCCAGGCTTTAAAATCTCTGATGTGAATGTTATATTGAACAATTGTAATAAGGGACTCTGGGCCCGCTTCTCAGCAGGTGATGCTCCCCACCAATAGATGGAGCCACCCAGGGAGAGCTTCAGGCGACTGCTCCTACCAGCATCTCAAGCTGTCCCAGCGGTCTATTCTTTCAAAAAAAAAAAAAAAAAAAAAAAAAAAAAAAAAAAAACTAGCATTGGCTGTGAGCACATTGGTTTGAACAAACGAGCTACACATGACGGAGCTGTCGTCCAGTTCTACTTTTATTCCGGAATACCTACTTTTCTGCTTTTCCCCAATGTTTACTACTTTGAAAACATCTGTTCTCTTACAACCACTGGGTTATACCAAAAAAA